CAGGCCTGCTCATGACTTCACTGGGTGTGGCCTCACTCCCAGACTGACCCGCCATGCCACCTAAGGATGGCCTACTCTTACAAAAGAACTCTGTGTCAAAAGGTTCTTTCGGTGTCTCCAAAGCCGGCCCAGAATAAAAGGGCTTTGTCGATCTGGTTTCTAAAAATCCTAAACAATGATGGATCTGATACAACTTGTGCGATCTTTGGTCCACATCATGTATCTGCCCCAGGGAGGCAGTGAGGTCCAGTGGGAAGGTCACTGGATTTGGAGTCAGGAGACAGGTTCAAGTTTTGGCTGTGTCTGGAACAAAACAGCACTGGACCTGGGTTCAAAGGGAAGAAGCCTGGGACAACAGAAAGAGCGCCGGACGTGGGGTTTGTAGGACCTGAGTTTGAATTCTAGCCTGGCCACACACTTGCGGTGAGAAGCTGGCCTCACTAGGTGACTTCCCTAACTCCCCTGGACCTCAGTTTTCTCACCTATAAAATGAAGGGTATAGACTAGACAGTCTGAGGTTCCTTCAGTCTTGATATCTATGATACTATAAGAGTAAGCATTAATACTGCATTTTAAGGTTTGCTAAATGCTTCATGAACGTACAATCCTCAACAATAATCCTGGGAGGTAGATTTTATTATTATCCTCATTTTACAGAAGGGGAAACTGAGACAGACAGAAGTGAAGTGACTTGTCCAGGGTTACAGAGCTAGTTAAGTGTCTGAGGTAAGCCTCAAACTCAGGTCTTCCTAACTCCAGGCCCAGCACTGTACCCACTAAATCCCAACATAGATACTTATTATCTGTGTGGCCATGGGTAAATCAATTAACCTCCTTGAGACACCAATTCATCATCTGTAAAATAGGGATAATAATGCTTTTAAAAAAAATATTACTTTTTTACATTCTATTTTTTAAAAATTTGAGTAGGATAATAATGTTTTATAACAACCTGTCTCCCAGGGTTGTAGTGAGAAAAGTGCTTTGTAAACTATGAAGGACTCCATAAATGGGAGTGTTATTCTTTATAATAAAATTACCTGATCAAGCTATGGTTACTGAAGGAGGTGGTAGCTTCAACCTCTCAGAATGGATTATCTCTCCCCAGTATTCTACCACTGAAAATACAAGGCCTATGATGACCCACGCTTTTTCTTCCACTTCATGGGAGAACATGGAGCCTATTTTCATATGGCTCCCCTCCTAGTGGGGTTCGGGTGGTTCTCTGTGGGACAATCACATGATGCTGTGTGCTGTGCATGCTCCCACGCATGTGGAGAAAGCCTACCCCCTCAGCATGTCCCTTAACTCCCGGCACCTGCACCCCTACCAGGTGCTGAACAGACTTCGGAGGCAAGACTGTTTTCTCCTCCTTAGCTGAGCTGAGATTTCACCTGTTCCTCAGTGGCAGAACCCCTTTCTTCCTGTATATTTTATCATCTAAATCAGCAGCATCAAATTCACATAGAAATGGGGGGGAAGCACTACACCACAAGGATCCCTATGGGCCACCTACAGACTTAGAAAACCACATAATAACATTATCGCTGTTTTACTATATTTTTATTTATTTTGGTAAGTTTCCTGATTTTATTTTCATCTGGTTAGCTTAGGCCAAAGGAGGCACTTTTGACACCATCAGTTCTCAAAATGTAATCGGGGGATGCCTGTGGGCCCTCCCTCAAGGTCAAAACTATTTTCACAGGATGCCCTTTTCCAACTACCTATCTATTTGAGGGCTGGATTTTCTTCATACACTGCAACCAGAAAAAAAAAAAACATATTGCAACAGATTGAATGCAAAAGCAGATAGGAGAATCCAGCTGCGTTCTGTGAAGCCAGACACTATAGAGAATTGCAAAAACATGTAAAATAATACCATTCTTCTAATTGTTTTTTGTTTTGGAAAATATAATATTTTTCATAAAAAATGGTATGTAAACATTTGAATATACAAATGGATTTACCATTTTAGATGAATTACTGTTTTAAAATGTTATCAGTTTTCATTTTTAGTATGGTAAATATTGATAGAAACAACTCACATAAACAAAAGCTCTGTGGGGTCCTCAGTAATTTTTAAGGATGTAAAGGGATCATGAGATCACTTGTCTAAATGAATCACTATAACCTTCCTGATTGCTCTTTATTGTTTGCTTTGATAAATGTTGGCTTGCTATTCATGATCAACTTTTGTGTAACAAGCACTTGATGGCAGGGAATGAAGCTTTTGTTGTTATTCAGTCGGGTCTGACTCCTCATGACCCCATTTAGAGTTTTCTTAGCAGAGATAGTGGAATGGTTTGCTATTTCCTTCTCCAGATCATTCTACAGATGAGGACACTGAGGCAAACAGGGCCAAGTGACTTACCCAGGGCTAGGAAGTATCTGAGGTCAGGTCTGAACTGAGGAAGAGGAGTCTTCCTGACTCCAGGCTTGATGATCTATCCACTGAACACCTAATCGCCTCAGGGAACTAAGCTAACCGAGATTAAATTAACTATTACCCTCTTGGCTGGGGACACTCTTAAACTGAAAATATCGGATGTGTCATAGTTAGATATAGTTCTAGCCCCAATAATCCTCTTGAAAATAGGAGAGCAAAGGAGTGATCATGCAGTCACCACTGCTGGTTCCAAGGTCTCTTAGCTCATCAAAAATCACAGCCCTCTCCCTGAAGTCAGTACAGACATGGCTGTCCTTCAGAGACACTGCCCAAGCCCATCCTTGCCATCTGGGGAGAGGACTATATTATAAACACAGAGAGTATGCCTTTTCTTCTCATCTGGGCTAGGGTCATTCTAGGTACTGGAGAGTGGATAGTATTATCTCTTGGAGGCTCAGCCAGAATGGAAAATCATAGAAACTAAGAGTGAAAACACACATGAATGGAGATCTAATCCAACCTTTCACCTAATGTGGGACCCCCTCTAAGATCCTACTAACAAGTCACTGTATAAGTTTCTCCTTGAAAAGTCCTAGTGATGAACAGTTCACTGATATACAAGGTGACCTCTTCCATTGTTGTACAGCTGAAATGGTTAGCAAATTCTTCCTTATAATATGCCCGCATCTGTTTCCCAGAAACATCTGCCCATCAGCCCTAGGTCTATTCAATGGAATAATAGAGAATATGTCTGCTTCTTCCCACAGGCACAGATAGAAGCAGAATAATGCAGTAAAAATAGCACTGGGCTTGGATCCAGGGGACCTGAGTTCAAATCCCAACGCAGATATGACTGTGGGGAAGGAAATGGCAAACCATTCCAGTATCTTTGCCAAGAAAACCCCAAATGGGGTCATGAAGGGTTGGACATGACTGGAAAGACTGACCAACTTCTTCACCTCAAAATCTGCCTGTATCCTCCCTTCTTTTCCTCTCCACTAGAAGGTATCCCTTCTCCTTTGTAAGCCCCCCACCACCCCATACTTTTGATCCTATCCCAGCTCCTCAAGGACCTCCTCTAGCAATGATCATCTCCTCCTGCTGCCTCTCCAGTTTCTCCCTTCGCACTGACTGGCTCCTTCCTGTCTGCTTACAAACATGCTCAGGTCTCCCCCATGCGAAAAATAGCTTCTGTTATTTCCTCCAACTAGACACGTCTCTTTTTCTCCTGCCAAGCTTCTCCAAAGAGAAGTCCAATCGTCACTGCCTCCCTTTCCTCACCACCCACTTCACTCTAACACCTTGCAATCTGTCTTCCATTCCCAAACCCCGCTACTAAAACTGCTCTCTTGAAGGCTGCTGGTGACCACCTAAATACCAAATCCAAAGGCATTCTCAGCATTCACCTCCTTCACCCATGTGAAGTATGGTGTGGTACAGAGAGCACTGGCTCAAAAAGCTAAAGGATCTGGGTTCAAGTCGTGCACCTGGTGTGTGACCTTGGGCAAGTCATATGGTCTCCATAAGCCTCAATTATCTTATTTGTTAAATGAAAAGGGATAGAACTAGATGCGTTCTGAGGTGCCTTTCAGCTCAAGAACCATGAGTAATTTCTAACCAGTCCATTCTCCTTGAAATGTTCTCCTCCCTTGGTTTCCATCCTGGCCCTCTTCCTGTCTCTCTGACTGTCCCTTCTCCTGCCTAACTTCTAGTCTTGACCTTTCTTTTCATTTTTCTATAATCTGTTCCTCAGATATCTCATCTGTTCCCAAGGCTTCAACTATCATCTTAATGTAGATGAGTTTCAAATTGACAATTTACCAAGGCTGCCTGACTTGCGGATAAAGAGAAATTCAGATGCCAGAGGGCTGGATGAGGCAGCTAGGTGGGCACAACGTATAAAGACTTGGACCTGGAATCAGGAAGACCTGAATTCAAATCCAGCCACAGACAATTACTAGCTGTGTGACCTTGGGCAAGTCATTGAACCTCTGTCTGCCATAGTAGAGCCTCCCCCCCAGGGGTGTTGTGAGGATGAAATGAGACAATATTTATAAAGTGCTTAGCATGGTACCTGGAACACAGCTGGAGCTTAATAAATGTTTTTTTTTCCTTCTCAGATTTACTGTATAGTGCCTGGCACCTAGCAGGAGCCTAATAAATGTTTGTTTCCTTTCTTTCTTCCTGGGCTGAAGGTACAGTGCCTGGCACATAGTAGGGGTTTAATAAAGGTTTTGTTTCCTTCCTAGATTGAGGGACAGTGCCTGATACATAGTAGGAGTCTAACAAATGTTTGTGTTCCTTCCTGGGTTGAAGGTATAATGCCTGGCACATGGTAGGAACTTAATAAATATTTGTTTCTTTCCCTCCTTCCCGGGTTGAGAGTATAGTGCCTAGCACATAGCAAGAGCTTAATAAATGTTTGTTTCCTTCCTAGATTGAGGGACAGTGCCTGGCACATAGTAGGGGTTTAATAAAGGTTTGTTTCCTTCCTAGATTGAGGGACAGTGCCTGGCACATAGTAGGAGCTTAATAAATGTTAGTTTACTCTCTCCTTCCTGGGTCAAGGTCAGGGGTTCTAAAGCCAGTGGGGTGGGGAACAACAGGAACTCACACATTGGTAGTGAAGACACCATAGACGAGGTCCTGCTCAGGAAGATGGAACGCACTCTGGAGTTCGTTGTAGTAGAACGGGATCTCCCCTGGGCGGGAGCAGTTTAACCGGGCCTTCATGAAAGTAGTCCACGTGTCTTCCAGCAGGAAGCGCCCCCCCACATCATTCTTGCACACACGAGCCACACGTGAATAGACAGTGCGCCCACAATCGTGCTCCACGGCATTCTCTCGCAGGAAGAAGTAGGCAAACAGCCCAATGTCATAAGCAGCTACAAAGTTTGGCTCTGGAGAAAGAAAGTTCAAGGGAAGAAGAGGAGAGAGATCAAGCAGATATCAGGACGAAGGGGGTAGGAATGAGGAGGGCATGTAGATTATGGAACTACTTAACTTACTATAGATCTGGAGCTAGATATTACAGATTATAATATAGGTATATGTTAGATATTATAGATCACAATATAGCTAGATACATATTATATTGTGTCGTGTTCTAACTCTAGAGCTAGAAGGACCTCAGAGACCATTAAGTCATTTTACAGATAAGGAAACTGATATCCAGGGAGGTTTAAATGATTTGTCCTATCACAATTACTACACATAGTAACCATCAATGTCAGAATTTGAACCCGGTTCCTCTGACACCAGAGCTAGTAGTGTTCTTTTCATTGTACCATACTGCCTTCTGATAGAAATCTTGCCACCATCCCAAGCAGCGTCCTTCTCCAAGATGGTAAGTTAGGAGCCATCAAGACCCCAAGGCTCATATTGCCGTCTTGAATGACACACACAGAGGATAATGGTAATGGCAGGAGAGGAAAAAGGTGGAGGAGGAGCCCCTTCCAAGCTCCCTTTCACAGTACCTAGGACAGTTTGTAGTACATAGTAAGTGCTTAATAAATGCTTGCTTATATTGTAATGATGATCAACTGGGAAAGACTTAGCTACTCTGATCAATGCGATGATCTATGACAATTCCAAAGAAGCATCATGAAAAGTGTTAGCCACCTCCAGAGAGAAAACTGATGATCTCTGAGTGCAGATTGAAGCATATTGTTTTTCACTTGATTTTTCTTGTCTTTTTTTTTCAACATGGCTAATATAGAAATACTTTTGGCATGATTTTACATGTAGAATTCAAATCATATTACTTGCCTTCTCAGTGGGTGGAAGAGGGCAGGGGGGATGGGAAAGAACTCAAAATTAAAAAAAAAGAATGTTGAAGTATATTAAAATTTTTTGAAATTAAAAACAAAGGAAAAAAATTTAAAAATGATAAATGCTTACTTGCTTGACTCACATTAGTATCTTTCTGAAAAGATTCTTTCTGACTCTCTTTCGTAATATGTCTTTGCCCACTTTCTGACCTGGCTGAACTTGAAACTAAGACACTTTGGTCCTTGGTGCCACCCCAAATATGCAGCAGTCCCTAAGCTGCCCATCTCTGAATATCAGTTGTGTTTTTTTGTTGTGAATTTAAAAAGAAAAATCTAGGAATGTGTATTCCTCAAAGGTAGGAGGATCAGAAAAGGGGGCGGTACCCCCACATTTTGGGGTTGGGGGCTGTGTGTACCATTGAGCCACTTGGAGTTATACTGAGCGGTGCGAAGAGGTGGGCCACTGCCCAGGCTTCGGTAGATGGCAGGGTCTCGGCCAGAGAAGTCAATGACGGTGGCAGCATACAGCTCACCCTGCTCTGAGATCACTGCTGTGGAGTTGTGTCGCGGGTCATAGGGGCATCGGGCCACGCCATTGATCTTTTCAATTGTCCGGCTGAGGTTCCCTGCCTGGGAAGAAAGTGAAAAAGAGGAAAATAGAGCAGAGAGAAAACTATGGGGAGTGAAGGTACATACTGTAGGGAATGAGGAGTTTCTCTCCAATCCAGGGGTGGTGGTTGGGAGCTGTGTGTTTTCCTTCCACCTTAGTTTGGTAACTTTCCTCTGACCTTGAGCTTATAGGGCCACCTGAGAACCACCTTGAGGACCACCTTGGTTCTTCCTCCCCATAATGTTTCCTCTAGGTCCATGCTAACCTTTGTAGTTCATAACTCAGGACAACACTGACTTCTGCTATCTCCAGGCAATCCGTCATGACCTTAGTTGATGACTCTCCCCAACCAAGAAACTAGCTCGTGGTATCAGGGCTGGGACATACCTCACTCACAAACAGCCTCACCTGAAAGACTCCTCACCTGTCTGCTGGAACACACAGGGGAGAAAGCATTGGTGCCACATGTGAAAACCTTCCTGGCAGACACAATCAAGACCCGAACATAGTTCTGACACTCCTCCTGGGGTAGGAAGGCAAGGGAAAAAATCCATTAAGCAGTCAATCAATCACTAAGCATTTATTAAGCACCTACTATGTGTGAGGCACTCTTCAAAGGGCTGGGGATACTGACAAAATCTCTGCCCATCTCATCTGGGTAAGTGAGGGGTGGGGTTCAGCAGAGTGAGTCTCAGAGAGATTTTAAAATACTCAGCACTAAGTAGCCCTGGATTTTTTTCTCATTTATCAGGTTTTTCCAAATGCCACAGTCTTTTCCTCTCAGATCTCCTCCCCCATCTCAGGCATCACTGTACCCCAGCCCTCGGATGTGCAAAGTATCCCTCCTAATCCCAGAGTCAGGGGGAGGGGAGAGATGCCTAGGATTCAGCCTGGCCACATACTTCAGTCTTCCCTTTGCTTTGGCAGGACTTGCGTGTTTCCTCATTGGAGATCCACTCCGTAGCCTGGGGAAAGAATGGAAAGAGTTCCCAGTGTTGTCAGGCAATAGCCTAGGAAGGAGAGGGAAATGAGGAGTCTGATGCTACTAGGGAGGGCCTGTTCAGTCTCCCTAATCATCACATCCATAGAATACGAAGGGGGTTGCAAAGACTCCTCCCCTGGAAACCTTTTAAAGACCAGAAAGACAACTGATAAGTATCTGGTCGAAAGCCATGAACAGAACAGGAAATGCAAATGGTCAGCTACCATATAAAAGACTGCTCAAAATAACAGTAACTAGCATTTATACAGTGAATTAGGGTTTTCAAAGCTCTTTACATATCTTGTTTGATCCTCATGCCAATTCTGAGGTAGGTGCTTTATTATCCCCATTTGACAGATGAAGAAACTAAGGCTGAGAGAGGTTAAATGACTCATCCAGGGTGACAGGAAGAGTTTGAGACAAAATTTTTCAACTTGTTTTCCCTGAATTGAAACAATTAAAGTTTCATCTCACACCTAGAAAATTGGCAAAGATGATTTTTAAAGATTGAGAGAGATAATGTTAGAGGGGGTGTGGAAAGATGTGTAGACTAATGCAATGTTAGTAGAGCTGTAAACTAGTCCATTCATTCAAGAAATCAATTTGGAATTATATAAATCACTAAACTTCTCAAACCCTATGACCTAGCAATCCCACTGTACATTCATCATAGACCTATACCCCAAGGGGTATAGGAGGCCCTCATGGAAGCAAAAAAAACACACAAAGAAACTGGAAAAAAAAAGCAGGTGCCTATCTACTGAGAAATGGTTGAACAAACTGTGGCATATAAATGTAATGGAATATTATCGTGCCACAGAAAATCCCAATAAGAAGAATCCAAAGAAACATGGAAAGGACTTGAATAAAGTGATTCAGAGCAAAGGAGGCAAGCCAGGACAGACCGGTGTGCACACAGACAATATGTAAAAGGCAGGCACAGAAGAATAACCACCCTGACAACGGTACCTGCTCCCAGGACAAGTGTTTCATAGGGAAGTGGCAGACCTGGAATGCCCCATCGACAGAAAGGCTCACTTAGGCGTCTGCAGGATAAGTTGGGAGGACATTTGCTTGGAGTGGAGAATCTTGTGGTATTTTTACGTGGGAAGCGTGATGGTGTGTGTGGGGGGGGGGAAGTGGCAGGCGCTGTAAAGCCTGCTGGAAGGGCAGGGTTGCAGTGTCACTTTCTTACTGAAAGGGAGCTTGCTTCAGTGTGTGTGTGTATAGGGAGAGGAGGTGGATGCTCACAGTGAGGAATGTTACAGTGGGTGTATAGAGGACAGAGAATATAGGCTATGTGAGGGGATTTCTTTTTCTTTTTTATTTGCTTTTTTTTGGTGAGGCAGTTGGGGTTAAGTGACTAGCCCAGGGTCACACAGCTAGTAAGTAACAAGTGTCTGAGGCTGGATTTGAACTCAAGTCCTCTTGACTCCAAGGCCAGAGCTCTATCCATTGCACAACCTAACTGCCTCAATCTAATCATTAACCCTTCCTTTATAATCTCTTTTTGTTTTGGTCTGGCCCTGTAATTCCATTGGTGTTAAGAACTCCACTTGAGGAACTCCTACCTATGCAGGTAAGCACCTCCTCTAAAATTTAGTCAGAGTTGCCTGGAGCATTAAAAGGTTAAGTGACTCATCCAGGGTCACACAGCTAGTCTGTGCAAATTTAGGGACCTGACCTCTGATGTTTCTCATGCTTAGGCCAGTTCCTATTCACTATGTGATATTGCCTCTCTTGTGGATTTATTTTCACTGCCAGGTTTTAGTTTGATAAATATAGTTGTGTTCTCACCGGAGGGGATAGGATAATGTTAGGAAGTAGAGGAGGTGGACTCTGTGCAAATTTTGTTGTTTCAGCCATTTTAGTGTCTAACGACTTTAGTCGTGTTATCTCATTTAGGGTTTTCTTGGCAAAGATACTGGAGAGGTTTGCCATTTCCTTCTCCAGCCCATTTTACAGATGAGGAAACTGAGGCAAACTGGGTTAAGTGACTTGTCCAGGATCGCACAGCTAGTAAGTGTCTGAGGTCAGATTTGAACTCAGGAAGATGTGTCTTCCTGACTCCAGGCCCAATGTTCTATCCACTGTGCCACTGAACTGCCCACGTGCAAACAGGAGTCACCAACAAATGCAGAACCATTTTGGGGCCTGATGAATATCATCAAATTGATGTTATGTTTCTATGTACTTGGGACATTTAGCAACCTTGGTTAAAATTACTGACATTTTGCTTTGTAATATGACTTGGTTCCTCTTGGCCTCTCCCTTAAAATGTACCCAGTCCTCCCATTTTCATATGCTGTCCCCTCAGTACTTTGATTCCCACTTCGACTCTTCTAAGAAGCATCTGTGCACTGAGCTACAGAAAACCTAACAGAAACAGAAGGTGTTTTGGTCTCCCCTACAGCCAAGACCTAGAGAGTAAGGGAAGTTGTGGTAAATCCCTCTAGCTCACCTTGATCTCTCCCCTCTCCAACTCCAGTTGAATTAGGTTTGGAGTCTGAGGACCTGGGTTCACTTCCCAGCTCTGTCACTTACTACCTGTGTAAATTGGGGCAGATTACTTAGCAAACTGTAATGAGGAGCAAGGGATAGAAGTGATCATAAAAGAGACAATGGACAATTTCAGTTACACAAAATTGGAAAGCTTCTGTAAAAACAAAATCGATGAGGCTAGAAAAGAAGCGTGCATGAGGAGAAAGGAAACTTTGTAGCAAATATCTCTGCTAAAGTCTCAAAAACAAGACAGATGGGGAATTAATATAAACATATAAGAAAAAGAGGCATTCCCCAATATATAAATGCTCAAAAGATATGAACAGGCAGTTTTTAAAAAGAAAAATACAAGCTATCCAAAGCCATATGAAAGAATGCTTGAAATGAGTAATAATAAGGGAAATGCAAATTGAAATAACTTGGAGGTTTTACCTCTCATATCACTAAGACTGGCAAAGATGACAAAAGACAAAAATGGTAACTGTTGGAAGGAAGGAAAGACAGGAAAGCTAATGCCTCATTTGCGGAGCTGTGGACTATTTAGTCCAACTGTTATGGAAGACAATTTGGAATTATATGGGAAGAAAAGTTAATAAATTATGCATACCCTTTGACCAAGTGTAGTACTGCCAGGAAATACCCCCAAAGAAGTAAAAAGCAAAGAGAAATGTTTTATACACACATACACACACACACATTACATATACAGATACATATGTGTGTCTCTATGTATTCATACAAATGTGTATAGATATATATGTGTGTGACATATATGGCATTTATATAACTCCGTATAAATACATATACATACACACATTTATTTGTTTGTTTATTCATTCACTTGTAGTGGCTGTTCCACAAACAAGACACTCCAGCTCTTGGCTCCAGACGTTTTCTCTGGCTATCCTCCTGCCTGGAATGCTTTCTCTCCTCCTTTTCAACTACTGACATCCTTCATTTCCTTTAAATTCCAACAAAAACCCCACTTTCTGTAGGAAGCCTTCCCCAATCCCTCCTAATTCTAGTGTCTTCCCTCTTTTCATCACTTCCTATTTATCCTGCATAGAGCTTGCTTTGTATATATTGGTTGACATGAAATCTCCCCCATTAGCTTATAAGCTCCTTGAGGGCAGGTACTGTCTTTTGCCTCTTTTTGTATCCCCAGAGCTTAGCATAGTGCCTGGCATATAGTATGTGTTTAATAAATGTTGGCTGCCCACTGAGAAGCTAAATAAGTAGTAGCATTTGGATTTAATGGATTATTATGCAAAAGAAATAATGAAAATGGAGAATTTAGAGAAATGTGGGAAAGACTTAGATGATCTGATATAGAACAAAGCAATCAGAATTGGGAGAATAAGTTACAAACTGACCACAATAATGTGAAGGAAAACAACATGGGAAGTTCAGAATTCTGATCAATGCGGTAGTGGATCACAACTTCAGAGGACTGATAGTGAAGCAGGACTTGGGGGGGAGGGCGTAGAATGAGGCATGCATTGTCCAGTGGGGCCAATATGTTGATTGATTTTGCTTGACTGCTCTCATTTATTGATGAGGGTAGGGGTTGGGGGGGGGGGAGTCGTTAGGAAGTGACAGTGAGGTGGTTTTTTTTTAACCATCAATAAAACATTATTTAAAAAATAAAATACAACGAGGAAGTTGGACTACAAATGCCTTCAAAGGTCCCTTCCAGCTCTAAACCTCTAAATCTGCGAATGGTGGAATCAGACAGCCAAGCACTTTGTTACATATTGTCTTATGTTGTTCTCCAATTCTGCCTTGTTGATCTTGTCTCCCCATCTGGGTTGTCCGTACGCCTATCCTCTCTTTTAACAAATGGAGAATAACTTTGGTGTAAGGTCACAGGGCCTCTCAGGCTCAGTCACACTTTTAATGCTATTTTATTTCACTAATTTGGGGGACCATACATTGTATGGGAGTACCCTGGGGTTTGTATGATGTGGTAAAACAATGTTCAACCATAAAACATTAAAAAAAATTTTAAAGAATCAAAATCTAAAAGACGGCAATCAGCTCCTTGTGGGGAGGGGCCCCACTTTACACTTTCTCTTGCATCCCCCAAAGCATCCAGCACAGGGTCAGACGCTGTGCAGAGGCCTAGGAAATAATTGCTGATTGATGGGGAGCCAAGCAGTCTATCCCCTAAAGCATCTGGGTAAGGATTCTTCTCAAATGGCTGGTAGAGACACTAAGTAATAGGGACCAGACTAAAGGCTCTCAGGAAAGGCATTTTGGAGGGCCTCAGTTTTGAGCTAAGTGCTTTGAAGGAAGTAATGGGAACAGTTTGGCAGACAGGATGCCCGTGTTCTTCTTGGAAATCCACTGGTAGGGGGTCAGAAGCTATGCTCTGGAGGCACCATACCACAGGTGTGCAGGCCAGATGCAGAGAGGGAGATGGCACACAGAGCTGGAGAAGGAAGGCAGGCATGCAGGGTAGTGAAAAGTGCCCTGGACTTG